TTTCCAAACGATCTGATGAGTTGGCTGTCAAGGATTCTCTGGCTCTTAGTGTTTAGTGTGTAGGTTCTGTGTCTAATATGGCCCAACGCCTATTTACTCGAACCCGCCAAGTTAAATCATTGGCGGCTGAAGTAATAAATCTCAAACAAGAGATCAAAGGGCTCAAGCATGTGAATAAATAGTTGCACAGGCTCGCATATGACTATGCTACAAACATGAAGAGGAAGCTCGACCAGCTGCAGGAATCTGATGGTCAGATTTTAATTGATCATCAGAGGTTTGAGGGTTTGTTCCAAGGGCATTTATTGCCTTTGTCTTCTGGGGTTGTACCGCATAATGAAGCTCCAAATGATCAACCTTCGGTGCCTCCTCCTTCTGGGGTTCTGCCTAGTACTGAGACTCCAAATAATCACCCTTTGGTGCCTCTTCTTTCTGGGGCTCTGCCGACTGCTGAGACTTCTCCTGAGCAACCTTTGTGAAGGCTCCCTCTTGTTTGTTTATTTTGATTCATGTATATGTACATATTTGTAACTTATCGGAGATATCAATAAACAAGCTTTGCTTCATTTCAACGTATTATGTTAAATACATCAAGGCCTTCTTCACTAAGTTCTTTGAATTTTTCCTTTTGTTGAATCTTATATGTTGAAGCTTTGTGAGTGAAGCATGTAAGTTAAGGTAGTGCTCCCTTAATTTCCCAAGTGAGGAAAACTTCTCGGTTGGAGACTTGAAAAAATCCAAGTCACTGAGTGGTCGTGAGACTTCTGAGTATCAAGGTGCAGTAGCTTATGGTAGGTCTCCCCTAAGTCTCCGGTCGAGGGAGTTGACGAATGAGGTGTCTTGCTAGTAGCCAAGTTTCTAAAGTAACAAAACTTCACCATTTTCCTTTCTAAATGGTAGTCCAAAACTCCTCCAACCGCCTCGCCGCAAGCATCAACTCTAGTCCATCACTTATGTATTGAGGAGCGAGCCCTTATTCTATAAAAGGGACTCTCTCACCTTCAAATCCACAAGCCGAGCCAACCAAGGCAACATAAGCCACAAACCAAGCAGTCTCGCAACATGTGCTACTTCTAGTTGAGCATCATTTCAGATTGGGCACCGCCTCATATCGAGTATCAGTTCTAGACGACATCTAGTTACTCCGGCCCACACATGGACTGAATTTCAAGTCTACAGCCAAAAGACTCTATTGAATGAAGACTTGGGGGACTACTGTTTATACCATACTTAGGGCCTCCGTATTTAGAACTGTTATAAATACTCGGGGGACTCAAATGTAATTATGTAATAAAGGAAGTGGCAAATATGTAATAAGTGAGGAGCCCTTATTCTATAAAATGACTCTTCACTCTCTTCATTGGGAGAGGCCAATTCCTAGGCCTGAGATCCCCAAAGCCTCTCACCCTCTCAGAGCCTCTCATATTCATCACAGAGGCTCTCTCCCTCATAATGCTCTCAGAGAAATACAATATCAGTGTGGACGTAGCCCAAACATTGGGCTGAACCACGATACATCTTATGTTATTTACTTTCTTGCAGATTCACGGTCGGATTTACGTTGTTCCAAGACCCTCCGGTTTTATGCATCAACACCACTAATTCTGGAACAAGATGATGGTGGCATTGTTGTTCTGTTTAGTCAGATCTGCAGCAGGGGTTATTGAGTCCATGACCAGACTTCTAAGATATGCGTATTTTGATTTGCCTCCGACCCTGGAAATTCATGGTTCCACAAATTCCCTTAAGTTGTATCTAAAATTACTTGTTCCCCTTGAGGATTGATAGTTATCCAAAGACCATACATTTTGAAGTAAGTCAGAATACATACCATTTTGGTTCTTCTTACAGGTGGCATTCTGTTGTGATCCTTGTAAACTTCGTGAGTGTTGAGTCGTTCTGTATTTAGGCGCATTACCTCGCGAATTGTGCCATCAATATCATACTAATGAGGATTGTCTCAGTTAGTGCGCAGAGAACGAGGTTTTGTCCGTTGTTTTCTCCGATTAAATTCAACTGTCGAATTCATTATCTCGAGATGCGACCATCCATATTCAATAGTAGATTAATTATGAAATATCGCCTTTAAATATCCTCAGATCTCTTGAAAAATAAAATAAATTGACTACCGAAGTTGAGTCAACACCGAATTCAATACAACTCGTCACTCAAGACCCTCTCAAACCTCCTCTTCACTCTCATTGATTTCAACGCAAAGACATACCGCGAAATCAAATAACCTTCCAAATTACCTTTATGCATTAATGTATAACTTGGTGATTAATTAGAAGAAATCAAGTAAATATAGTTCTGACTGGGGCCATCATGCTCAAAGGAAAGCTTAACCTTCCGAACAACGTCAAGCATGCCTTCACAAACCGGCTTGGCAACTTGCCCAAAGGGCACGACTCTCGTAGAGAACAAGATTGATGAAGAGGATGAAGATTGTATTGATGACAAGATAGATAAAGAAAATATATGAGGGTCCGGTAGAGACTCGAAAAAGAAGGGTCAAATTCAGTGTTTGTGTTGGCAGCCATTGAAGTGGATGATAAAAGGTCCGAATTTCAATATGAGGTGAGAATTAATAAGTGAGAAAGAACAGAGAAATAGTACAATTTTGTTTTGAAAATGATGATTTTTCCGCTAAACTAACAGAATCATCGATGAAATGTAGATTACAAGTATAGAAGGGAATTCGGCAAATTACTCATAAGGTAAAGGGTTGGTACTAGGCCTGACAATTCCTAACATGACCCGATAACCCGACACGACACGATACAAAATTAACAGGTATTTGGGTCGACACGATAGTGAATCGGGTCGTTATCGGGTAATCCGATAAGCACATGTTAAGATAACAGGTTGGTTCGGGTATACACGTAGGTAACACGATACACGATAAGCAAAATATTAATTTTATAATTTGATAACCCTAAAAAAATACTATAATAATTATATATATATATATATATTAATTTAACAATTTTATACCCCTAAAAACTATAATAATTATACATATATATATTAAATTAAATATTAAAAATTGGTGACCATTGGATCAACTTAAATATACATACCATTAAATTTCTTAAGTGTTATATGTACAAAATAAATAAATTTAAATCTACTTAATAAATATATATATATACTATTGAACTTGATGGGATATGAATTCTACGAAACTAATTTCAACGATCTAACCATCAAACTTGTTTGTATATGCTTCGAGATTGCATCAACAAAAAATCGCAAAAAAACAAACTTTCAAAGATCAAGTAACGAGACAAAACTTTTCGACAGTTATCAACGAAAAATCACGATTTAACGATTATTTTAACTCCGATTTTGATGATTTTTTACTGCTACACTCCTTGACCCTATATGAATACAATGAATGAACTTGATCTTCAATTTAAAATATTTACACTAGTGGATACCACAAAATCTTATGTTATACTTAATGAAAGTTTGAATAAACTCTTAAGTGTTAGTTAATCTATTGTTTTGATGGGATACACATTCTACGAAATTAGTTTCAACGATCCAACCGTCAAATATGTTTGTATATACTTTGAGATTGCATATGCCAAAAATTGCAAAAAATAAACATTCAGAGATCAAGTAACGGGACAAAACTTTTCTACAGTTATCAACGAAAAATCACAATTTAACGGTTATTTTAACTCCGATTTTGATGATTTTTTACCGCTACACTCCTTGACCCTATATGAATACTATGAATGAACTCGATCTTCAATTTAAAATATTTACACTAGTGGATACCACAAAATCTTATGTTATACTTAATAAAAGTTTGAATAAACTCTTAAGTGTTAGTTAATCTATTGTTTTGATGAGATACGCATTTTACGAAACTAGTTTCAACGATCCAACCGTCAAACATGTTTGTATATACTTCGAGATCACATACGCCAAAAATTGCAGAAAACAAACATTTAAAGATCAAGTAACAGGACAAAACTTTTCGACGATTATCAACGAAAAATCACGATTTATCGATTATTTTAACTCCGATTTTGATGATTTTTTACAGCTACACTCCTTGACCCTATATGAATACAATGAATGAACTCGATCTTCAATTTAAGGATTTTGTAAAAGGAATAACATGCAAGCTTTGAGTTCTATTGGCAAGGTTTAAACTTTTGAGAAAGACTTCACAACCTTGAAAACAAAAACTCTTTCATTTTGCATATCCTTGCACATTTAATATTTTGTAATAGACTAGTAGTGTATGAATGTTTGTTTATTAGGCTCTTATTTTTTAGTGTAAATGTAATACTTAAACGACAAATGTGTTTTAATGTTTTGAAGTAATATTTATGTGGCAATATGTGGTATGTGCAAATTTAAGAAGAAAAAAAATATTTTTCTTAACTGGTCATAATGGGTCATAACGGGTCGGGTCACTTTACCAGTAGGGTAAAATGACCCGACCTGTTAAGGACCCGTTAAGATAACGGGTGTGACATGACACGACCCGTTAAGATAACATGTGTTACACGAAAACGATACGAACATGACATACACGATCCGTTTGCCAGGCCTAGTTGGTACAGTTATACTCTAAAAGCTCCAAAACATACATGAAACAACAAACCCTAGCATATATATATATACTTATATTTATTCTCTTGCTTGTTTGGTGTATAAAAGATAAATGATAGAAAAACAGATAAAACATGTTGACATATTAAATTAGGAACTATGTACACACGCATATAGGTGTGCAATTGAGAGTGGACTTGTTCTTGTACCTTTTGGCACAACAAAATAAAATAATAATAATCGGTAGTGTGACATCACATTCATCATCATGCCCCAATGCCTTTTAGCTAGCTCACCAAAACATATAATTCAACAAGAGCGAGCCAGCTTAATTTGACTTTGATATAGACACACGCGCTCTCTCTCTCTCTCTCTCTCTATCCACCCTATCCGCACATTACACAAAATCTGCCTATATAAACGGCTCACAACACATTCACTTCCATCAAACAAACAAACTCAAGGCACGTTCCTCGCTTCTTAAACAACAACAAAATGGAGCACTTCTATCTGACCCTCCTCTTAGGGTTTGTCTCCTTCATCACTCTTTCTCTCTCCGTGCTCTTTTACCGGCACAGAGCGCAGTTCGTCGGCACCAACCTGCCGCCTGGCAAAGTTGGTTACCCAGTGATCGGCGAGACCTACCAGTTCCTAGCCACAGGATGGAAAGGTCACCCGGAGAAATTCATCTTCGACCGCATGACCAAGTACTCCTCCGAAGTGTTCAAGACCTCACTCATGGGCGAGAAGGCCGCCATCTTCTGCGGTGCAGCCTGCAACAAGTTCTTGTTCTCCAACGAGAACAAGCTCGTCACTGCATGGTGGCCCAGCTCAGTCAACAAGGTCTTCCCTTCTTCTTTGGAGACTTCTGCCAAGGAGGAGGCCAAGAAGATGAGAAAGATGCTTCCCAACTTCATGAAGCCCGAGGCTCTCCAGCGATACATCGGCATCATGGACACCGTCGCCCGACGCCACTTCGCTGAGGGCTGGGAAAACAAGAAGGAAGTTGAAGTCTTTCCCCTCGCCAAGAAGTAAGTCCCCGTCTACTATTTTATTATTAGAAAATTGATTCTGATCATATATGGATATCTTATATATATATATGTTTGAACAAACAGCTATACCTTTTGGCTTGCTGCACGGTTGTTTGTGAGCCTGGAGGACTCGGTTGAGATCGCCAAGTTAGGCGACCCGTTCGCAGTTTTGGCCTCGGGAATCATATCGATGCCTCTGGATTTCCCGGGGACTCCGTTTTACAAAGCGATCAAGGCGTCCAACTTCATCAGGGAGGAGCTGACGAAGATCATCAAGCAGAGGAAGATAGACTTGGCGGAGGGCAAAGCGTCGCCAACGCAAGATATATTGTCTCACATGTTGTTGTTGTGCGACGAGCACGGAAGTCACATGAAGGAACACGATATCGCGGATAAGATTTTGGGGCTGCTGATCGGTGGCCATGACACTGCTAGCGCTACCTGCACTTTTATTGTTAAGTATCTTGCCGAGCTTCCTCACATTTATGACGAAGTCTACAAGGGTAATTATAAATTAACCCCCTAACCCTATCTAATTTTTTATTTTTTTTCCCTTTCTGTCTATGGTAAAATTAATGATATAGACATTTTTATCTAATAAATTAATAATTATTAAGGCCTGCCGGTTAAAATTGAGATCTAGCAGATCAACCCTACACCAACCTTTGTGTTGTATTTTCTGATGCATTATTTTGTTGTTAGCACATAGGGATGTATAGTTGACTAAAAATACTTAATTAATCTATATCTTTTTTTTTTGGAATAATAATTAATCTATCTCTTTGGCCGCCTTGGAATCTTGGATAACGCGCAACCCATTACCACATATAAAAAATGTTTATGTAGGTCTCTTTCAGACATGTATGACCATTCGTCAATTAATTTATTTATTAAAATGTGAAAATTTAATAGACCTGATTAGTCAAATAAGGTTGGCCTGGCTAGTTCCCATCCTGAAATTACCTATTTACCCTCGTTGGTTTCGATAATTAATAATAATAGTATATTTGTTCGATTTTATCTGGAGCGGATTACTGACGATGATAATATCAATTAACTAATATAATGAACAGAGCAAATGGAGGTCCTAAGCGCAAAAGCACCAGGGGACTTGTTGAACTGGGATGACCTACAGAAGATGAAATACTCATGGAACGTAGCTCAGGAAGTTCTCAGATTGGCTCCACCTCTTCAAGGAGCTTTCAGGGAAGCCTTATCTGACTTTGTCTTCAATGGTTTCACCATTCCAAAAGGCTGGAAGGTATATACATTTACGGAAAAGGATCATCGCGCGGATCATTTTCCTATGAATCCTAGGGATTCAGTGATTTTACCCGTTCATTGTATATCGTGCGGTCAGAAATTATTTTAAAATTTAAAATTTAAAATTAAATATGAATAGTATATAACGAAAACTGACCGTACGATATACGATGAACGGATGAGATCATGAGATCCCTAAGAAAAGGATCCTTCCTTTTCCTACATTTACAACATATAACCTTTTTTTTTTTTTTTAATTCAATAACTGTGTATTGTAGTTGTATTGGAGTGCAAATTCAACACACAAGAACGCAGCTTACTTCCCGGAACCATTCAAATTCGACCCTACAAGATTCGAAGGAAATGGTCCAGCACCATACACGTTTGTGCCCTTTGGAGGAGGTCCTAGGATGTGCCCCGGCAAAGAGTACGCCCGATTGGAAATCCTAGTGTTCATGCACAACTTGGTGAAGAGGTTCAAATGGGAAAAAGTTCTTCCCGACGAGCAGATCGTAGTTGACCCACTGCCCATGCCCGCCAAGGGACTCCCCGTCCGCCTTTTCCCTCACCCTAAGACAGCCACAACTTAATTATCTAGCTAAGCTTATACTTAAAAGTAAAAAAAAAAAAAAAAAAACCCATCAAACAAGGCTTTATTTCTTGGTTATTGTATTCGTTCTTCATATTTGATCTCTGTACGCCCATAGTTTTTTTTAATGCAATCACTTCTACTGTATTAAAATCTAGACTTGTACCTGGCCACTTGATGTTCATGTTTCAAGACATGAAAATTGTATAATTGAGAAATTAAGAATAAACATGGTATATTGTTTACTAGTTCACTGTGTTAAGGGGACGCAACTAGGGATGGGTAAATACCCATCGGTTATGGGTAACCGCGGTTACCCGCCCATTTAAATTTTACGGTTACAATTATGGATAACCGTTTAGATAAATAAACGGTTATAGGTATAATCGTTTACCCATGAAATTTAAATTGCCGGTTATGGGTATTAACCTCGGTTATAAACGGGTAATCATTTACCCATTTATTTTATATATGTAAAATTAACACAAACCATGTTGCCTATCAGACAAAACTTAGATCAATGCTATTGACTATAGTGCATGATTTCTATAGCTAATATAATATAGTTTTCCTTAACCACTTTAAATTTCATGGTTCATTATATATATTATGTTAATATTTTACATTCTGAGTCAAATAACCCAAGAATACTGTCTTTTAACAGTTTTCGTAACCCAAGAATACTTAGCAAATTTTATATTACCTTCATTGCTAACAGTTAAAAATATCGTCTATAAACTATTATTTCAATTATTGGAATGATATACAGACTTAAAAAATTAAAACGCAGATGTCACAGCCCGTCCCGGGATTTTCTTATTAAGGACGTGAAATGACGGATTTACCCTTAGCGGGTATTAAGGTATGTGTGTGACATTATTTGGTTTAACCTTAGATATGTTTTGGAAGAAAATAAATAAGATGAGTTGGATTATTAAATTTGGTTTTTTGTTAATTTTGGTTAGGGATTTAGATGATGGATGGTGTGGATTGAAATGGGCCATCTAAACCCTTACCCTCTTTCTATCCCGTATCTCTCTCTCTCTCATCCATCTCGACACTCTCTCTCTCACACCCATATTGTCACACCCATATTGAAACCACAAAACCCCCCAAAACTCAGTGGATCGAAGTAAGCAATCGTAAGAATCTTCATCCTCGTGATTTTGAATTGATTGGTGCTAGTTTTAGGGCGTGGAACCTTCGATTTCACGTGAACCCGAACCCCCCATTTTTTGTCACTGTTCATGCACACGTGAAATGTTGTGTTTCAGGGAATTCTAAGCTTATAGTGAGCTTAGTGAGGTCCCAAGGAAGCTCGGAGTGCTTCGTTTGAAGGATTTGGACGTCGGGATCACGAGGGTTGAGTTTGGCTGGTTTTGCTTGGATTTTTCCGGTGAGATTTAGTTGTTTTTGGAGCTTAAAAATAGTGTATCGTGATTATGCATGTTTGGGGCTTCATTTTGGTATAAAATACGAAGAAAATGGTTGAGAAACGAAGGAGAACAAGGCGTTTAAAGTTTGGCCGGAAACCGGCCGCCGGAAAAACCAGTCCGGCGAACCAAGGTTGGGGATGATGCGCGTGGGGGCGCGTGTCCCCGTGCCTGTCCTAGTGCGTGGGGGCGTGTGCGGCCTCCAAAAATTTATTTAAAAATTTCTCGACGTCCGTGACGTCGAGTAGGTCGATGTGGTATATTCATATACCCAAATTGAGCATTGTATGAGAAGTTATTTCGAATTGTTGGTTATGTGTTTAAATTAACGTTTTTATAGTTGTTTCGCATATAGGTGACACTTATCCCGAGGACGAGCACATCCAGGGACGTCACGGGGGTTACGACCCATCGACTTATCAGTGAGTGGGCAGTTTGTTTTCGTATTACCTATATACAACTATTTTTCCCAGAAAATGCGTTTATATGAAAATTATGATTTAAATTGCCATGCATGCAAATGTTGAGATATTTAGTTTGATAATTGATGCATATATATGTTAATTGACGCGGTGGACGCACAGGTGAGTTTTTATATTATTCAGATGAGTTATTTTATGAGAATTGCATTGAAAGCTCATAACCTGCACCCTAGGTGTTAGTACTTATATTATTATTCACCACACCGCACGCTCGCCTTGGATTCAAGTAGGTGGATGTCGTACAGGCCATGTAAGGGTTCCGACATGCTAGTCGTATAGATCACTAGATGTGAGATGTGATTCGACTGGTGGGTGACCTTAGTTATGGGCGCTGATGATTGATGAGAGAAGCACTAGAGCGTATTTATACACCTTTCATCGTACAGACTACTATACGTAGTTCCGAGTGATGTGCAGTGTAGTGCCGTACATGTCACAGTTGGTGACTCCGGCAGGGCCGTATAGGTCACTGTGGTGACTCCGGCTGAGTGGGATGTTGAGCTTTAGAATCAGCCGTACAGGACCATTGTAGGGTCTCCGGTTGATTTATTATTTCACCTGATTGATATATTGATGCATTTCTGATTATATTTGGCATGGCGTGGCATATTATTTCTGAGATGTTATGTTGATGGATATGAGCTGAGTTTTGATGATATGTGTATATATATGTTTATATACTATTTTTCTGGGAAAGTATACAGGTTTTACGGTGAGGGGTTAGAAATGTTTTTAAATGAAATGTTTTGGAAAATCTTTGATTTTACTGACCCACTCACTCATTTTGTTTTGCGCCCCTCCAGGTTCTAGTTAGCGGTTGGTGGCTCTCGGGGTCTTTTTCGGCATTCTGACAGACGTTCTGCATGTAGGACTCACCTGCGGGTGATGTATTTTATTTTTGTCCTACTTGACTGCACTTAAACCTATGCTCTGAATTTTTGTGTTTACCTTATAACTCATCCTTTTATTCTAGTAGGTGGTTCTACTAGAGATTGGTTTGAATTCCTTCATATTCTGTTATATCTTGCTTCCGTGTCGCACTTTTGGTTACGTCACGCTCACGTGACGGCCAGCACGCCTTGATCCTCTGGGTCGGGGTGTGTCACGGAAATGTATGATGAATGTACCTATAACAGTGTTTAATTGTTAGAAAAATAAAATTATGACAAATTTTTCTTTTTTTAATTTTCAAGTTGTTAAAAAAACACGTAGACAGGTGAAAAATGAGTAAATGGTAAAAAAGAAAGGATAAATAGGTTTAAAAATGATAAATGGGTAAACGGGTACTAAACGGTTACGATTAAATGGGTACACGGTTATGGGTATGGTTAACCATTTATAAACGGTTATGGATATGGGTATAACTGTTTAGACAATTACTCAACAGGTAAACGGTTATGCAAGTATGAGAATAAATGGTTATAGATAAATAACCGCGGTTACCTGCCCGCCATAACCGTTGCTCATCCCTAGACGCAACTTCCTATCTAGAATCAGAGCATGAATGATGTTGGTTCCATATAATTTGTTTACTAGCTTACTTTATTCGGAATTAAAACTAGCTTGACTACTAAATTGTGCTTATTTAAAGGGGAATGCTAGGATGACCAAATTTTTAAACTTAATTTTGTAAATCAAGTGATGTGGTTATTGATAATTGGATTATTAATAAGTTTCAATTAAAGTGCTTCGTTCTTATTTGTGACACATCATTTGTTTTCTAAATGTGGTTAAAATTTTTGATCTCCCTGACATTATCCTAAAAATAAATTATTTTTCTTGCTAATTACATAAATTTATGGGAAACTTTAGTTCCGGTCCTTAGTTGATCAAAATTTCATACTAAAACTTTATTAACCTGAATTATTTGAATTAACGGGAAAATATTGAATTTCAATTTTAATTAAGAATTTACATAATGAAAATTAATAATTTCTCCCTAAAATCATACAAAGAGGAATTTTTAATTTTTTCCTCAAGTTTAAATTGTTTGAAGTCTGATCAAATTTTTATTTTTATTTTTAATATGGGTTACATTAAAAAAATTGGTACATTTATATAACAAAATTGGTACACTACATATATATATATATATATATATATATATATATATATATATATATATATATATATATAACAAAGTGGCACTACTACATTTAACAGTTTTCCTGACGAAGGACATTTCGTTGCGCAAAGACAAATTGTGTCACGTAGAGGTTTAAGTGGCGAATATTTCATTGCACACAAGTTGTCGCGTAAAGGTTATGAAAAAAGACATTGCATGTGACAACTTGTCCCTAATTTGACAAAAATGCCCTTAAGGCAATGACTTTGACTTTTGTTGACTCGTGTTTTGGGAGATGTATGAAATATTCTTTTACCGTATTCTCGAAGTACTCGACGGTGCGGACGTGTAGGCACAAGCGGAATCGAATTTGGAGCTATGATGAAGATTTTACAGAGTTACGAAATTTAAGGGATATTTTAAATGTTGTGTGGTTATCTGGTCCGTGGGACCCACACCCATACCAACTCACCATCCATTGCACGCCACGTGCCCCTCTCCATTTCTTTCTTCACTCTGGATCTCATCTCCTCTCTCTCTTTCGTCTTCCTCCTCCTAAACTCACCTTCTCTCTTTCTCTCTTTCTCTTTTTCTCTCTCTCAGACTTTCCCCATTTTCCCATTCGCATCCATATACCACGCACACCCAAGGGATACCCTGACCAACGGTGATGCACCACCACGACCCATGAGGGCCTCCCTTCCTCCTCTTTCATCTCTATGGAGCTTAATAGAGCTTAGAAAACCCAGGAAAAGCCTCCGCGTGAGCCAAGGCTTCAAGCCTAGATTTAAGCCGACTCCGGCCACCCTACAACGTGGAAAAGGTGTAAATCTTCTCTTCTCGTCCTTACCTTTGTTTTGGTAGTGAGATCGAGCCCTAGGGTTAGTCATCGACATCGATCGGAGCTCCCTGAGCTCTGGTTTTCATTCCCGGCGATAAACAGGTCAGTTGACCCAAACCCAAAACCCATTTATTTTTCTTAAAACCAACCCAAAAACTCTTGGGCCGGGTTGTTAAGCTCAAGCCTGTATGAAACCAAAACCCTTTAGCGACCAAGCCTTCGGGCTGAAACAACACAGGCATTTGGCCTATTAAACTAGGCTCTTGGGCCGTGTGAAACTCGGGCTTCAAGCTCGTTAACACTAAACCTTCTAAATCCAACTCACCTAAAACCCTAAGCCTAACCCGGTTGAGATCCAAACCGAAAACCCTAAACCAGTCCAACCCTAGACTTTGACTGACCCGACCCGGTCTGACCGTTGACCGTT